AATGAAAATCACAAGCTTTTTCATTCAGAAGATGAAGAAGAATCTGAAGACAATCACACAGAAACCGCTCAAGATGAGGAAACGGTCACCATTGAAAAATGTTTAGAGCTACATGCAAGCCAAGCCGATAATAACACTGGTGACAACGCTGAGGAGGACGAGCCTGAGTCAGATCCCAAAGAGCAGTCAACTACATCAAAGAAGACCCCAACCATCCCCCCAACACCAGCGCAAGCACCACACACTGACATACCCGCTCCTCCTGCAGCCACTTACTCCGACCAATTGATACTCGAGCACTCCATCATAAACTTTGCTCAGGAACATGTTTTTGTCATTGTCAGGAAGAGGACTGTTTCTGGCAAGAGTATCACTTTCAAATGTGACAGGTAAGTTGTATTTCTAAATGATGATAATTGATTATGATCTCATACTCAATGCTTGCTATTTCCTCCATCCGTTCTGTAGAGGTGGTAACCCCGCTTGAAACAAACGGAAAAATGACACACGCCCTGGACCAATTGTCAGTTGACTGATTGATTTCCCCTTTGATGCAAGGGCCCAAATCCAGAGGAAGGCTGGGGGGGAATGGAAGTTTACGGTGGCCAATCCCCAACATAATCATGCGCCCAGCAAAGATCCCTCCAGCCACACCGCCAACCAAAAACTCACAAAGGAGCTCTATGAGCAAATGAAGAAACTAGGCGATGCAGGATTAAAATCGGCCCAGATTCTTCAATCACTCAAGAAGACACTCAGACAATCTTGGCTACCATTTCTACCGTATACTCCGCCAGAAAGAAGGCTCGCGCAGAAGAGTTACGTGGACTCAGCCCAATTTTTCATCTCAATCAAACCCTCACGACGGAATTCACCTCAGCAACCAAGGTCAATGATTCTGGCGAGATTCTAGGTCTTTTCTTCTGTCACAACCACTCGATTCACCTTCTCCGTCATTTCCACTACATCTTATTCCTCGATTTCACCTAAAAGACGAATAAGTATTGCATGCCACTCCTCCACATTGCCGGCGTCACTGGATCTAACAAGTCCTTCAGTGTTTCCTTTGCTTTCCTTCACAAAGAAACCAAAGAGTACTACGAATCGGCTCTTCAATTGCTCCTCAACGTGTTCACCAGCAACAATATTCCTATCCCTGAGGTAGTCTTGACTGACTGGGAACAAGCTCTTATGAATGGTCTCGACTCTGTTTTCCCCACCACGACTCATCTACTTTGTACCTGGCACATCAACAAGAACTTGGTTTCTAACGGTGTGGTGTTCTAAATGGTACAGGCCTCCTCCAGCTTGAATTTCAAATTTCAACTTTCAACTCTTCAATATCCTCAAGACTCAAGATTTCAATATTATCAGCTCAAATCCCCACTCAGTCCAATGGTTTCCTCATTTTATTATTGGGGCTTGGTTAAATGACTCCCAAAAAATGGAGAGCCAACTCCCATGCCCCGGAATCCCCGAAAAATGGGAGTCGAACCCCCAAAACCTTCGACTCCCTAAAAAAATGAAATTCCCCGGTTGGTATAGGAGTTGATCCTCCAAATGCAACCAGGGCTTGGGGGTCAATGAAACAAAAGACCCCCACAGAAGCGGCCGGGAGGATTCCTCCCGGCCACTCAGATTACACATTGATGGCCGAGAGGAATCCTCTCGGCTGTTGAGATTCTGCTCTCAGCGGCCGAGGTGATTTCCCTTGGCTTGAGAGTATACACCTCGGTCGTCGAGAGTGTACACTCTCAACAGCCAAGGGAAACCACCTCGGCTGTCAAGAGCGTACACTCTTGATGGCTGGGAGTGTACCCTTGGCCGTCGAGAGTGTAAACTCTCAATGGCCGAGGGAAACCGCCTCGGCTGTCAAAAGCATACACTCTCAATGGCCGGGAGTGTACCCTTGGCTGTCGAGAGTGTACACTGTCGATGGCCGAGAGGATTCCTCTCGGCCGTTGTAGGACTCCTGGGACGGATAGACACAGTAAAGTATATGTATATCAAAAGATCCCTTGAGGGGGAAATAAATTGCAAATAGGTTGAGAGGCTATTACAACTTACGGGTGGTTTGAAAGACCTGCCCCTCTAAATTTACTAAACAAATAACTAAGAGTATTGTAATCAATATTTAATAATGTATGGCTGATTCCAAGATAGATCTTACTTTCGTAAAGTAATCTCTATCAGACCTAGATCACGTTGTGAGAACTCCTTTGGGAATGGTGGCAGTCCTGTGAGGGGGAAATAACAGATAAGATATATCACGTATGTAATGATCTACTACAACTGTTACGGCTGGTTTGAAAGACCTGCCCCTCTATTGTACTACACAAGAGTTAACACAACAATTTATTTATTGTTGTGGCAAAACTGATGATAGAGAAAACTATGTGTAGCAGTCTCTTATCAAACCTAGATCAACATGGATTCAGCAGACTATTTGAGTGGAATTGTTGAGTAAGAGGTATTTTTTTATGTTTATGTATTTTGAAAAAATGATTGATGTATGTAATGATAGTGAATGGGAATTTATGAGATACTACTGGGAAAACAAATGTGCTTATTCAGGTATATTTTCCCTTTGTCCTTAATCCTTGGTGGGGGGGCACAATAGTTTAAGATCACTGTCTCTTGTTTAAGATCACAAGTTGTACTAGTTGTTACTTTCCTTTTCCTATGCTTCTCAATGTCTGAATGATCTCAATGGGGCACTTGATTAAGATCACACTGGTTAATGTATGGATTGATTGCTCTGTTCTGTCTGGTTGCTGATCAGATGAGGTGATGATCTGTTGTGATGAGATGCTCTGATGAGATGAGATGATGAGATCTTGGAATGAGGGGGGAAAGCCCCTCCTTAAATAGTCTATTTTACAACCCGGCTGACTTGTGGTTCTAGCCCTAACCTATAATCTATAAATGGCCAACTTGTGGTTCTAGCCCTATACATGATTCTCAGTGTACATACAAACAATGTGGCTCACTTGTGGTTACCATATGCAATGAATATTGAATATGTAAGCTAACTAAGGCCAACTTGTGGTTTACATTATGCAATAATCATTTTTTATGCAAATAAAATTTAAATCCCAAATAACTTTTGACTGAGTGGAGCTAGCCTAGTGGTTCCAGTGAGTGACTATGGGTTAAATGACCCGTAGAATGTGATTATGCCATAATACGCCTAAGAATATATGCCCTTCTACAAATTGGACTGTGACTTTATCCAATTTGATACTTGAAACACAATTGGTATTGTCAGCTTGCTACTATGGCAGAGACAACCTGTCATAGCAAAAGAAAATAATAAAAATACATAAAAAATCTAAGAATAAAGTAAAAATATTACATAAGTAAAAGAAACTACTTTACTTATGTAAATAATACAAAAACACTTAAAATATACAAATAACTTAGAAAGTATGGAGAAAACTTTAATTATTATTGCAGATTCTAAATCTACATACAATTTAACATAGGGTACCTCAGCCAAAGGTACCCCCAATTCTCACTCCTTCACCCTTTAATACAACCATGAATAATTAACCAGTACCTTTAGATCACGGGCCCTGGATAATTATGCATTATACATAACCAAATGCATATACTTCAAATCTTGTCACGGATTTGGAGTGTTGTGTAAAGTTTAGAAGATAGTGCAGCGTGGCGTGTACAGTCTCCAAGCCCGCGCGCCGCGTAGTCATGCTGCGCACTGTTGACAGGCACGCCTGACTACAATTGAGCCCCAGGCTCAAGCCCCCGCGCGTGCTAGGTATGCCTACCCGCCTTGCATACATGCATAACCCCCTCTGGGTTACCAGTATCCAAGGAATTGGGCCACAAAGCCCCAGGAACTCACTGTGCACGTGTCAACAAAGCCCCCACACGTTGTGGTAAGCCAATCTTGAATAAGAGGCCCACAAAATCAAAGCTTCATGCACAATAATAGGCCATCTGGACAGCAATACCCTCAAGGACCAAGACAAGCCCCCTCTGGAATATTCAACCAACCTGCAACACCATGGATGTCACAAGACCAAGCCCCCAGGACAGAAGACACTCTGGATTCCCATTTCACTTCTTTATTACATAATCATCTCATGCAGTCTTACATCATCAATCCCCATTCAGCCTTCCACATTTGGCCTCTGCATGTGTTTCACTCTAATCCACTTTCACTCTAGTCTCATTTCCACTTTGGGCCACATTTCACTGTTTCACACTATTCTACATTGGTTATTCTGATGTCTCACACTAGTACACATTTGGCTAGTTCATTCAACTCTTTGGTATATTCTTCCTCCCTCATTGGTTGTGGCACATTTCATCCCTGCATGTCTCTGATGTCATTTTCCCCATTTATCTTAGTGCCTACCAATTGGGCCACATTGTCTCAGTTTGATATTTTTCACTCTTCCATTTTGTTCCATCCCCCTTCCACCCACAAGCTGGCCACTCCCCAGAATCTTGTATATAAGGAGCCTTGTTTTTCATGTTCATTTGTTCCCCATCAGATCCTGACCCAGCAATCCAGATAACTGATCACCCATTACTAGCCAGGTATATGCCCATCAACATTTGGGATACCTTGATTTGTGAACAAGTATATTTTGACCAGTAGAAATAAGACATATTAGACATACCTTACTCAAGAAATCTCCATAGCCACACCTATTCTTCAAGAGTCCATACTCTTGTTCTTTTCTTGTTACCTTACTCATCCTAGTTCCAGAGAGGCAGCCCAATAAAGCACTATTCCCTCTCAAGCTCTATTCATCCCAAAGAGTAGTCCCACAAGTGGTGTCCCAACAGTGGCGTAACAGATCTTTAGTTTTCAGTCACTTATAATTACTAGGCTAAATATAGAGTTACAGATTAGCTAGTTTATATTACCCACACCATAGAATTTAGATTTTACATACCTTAGATTTAATCAGCCTCTTACCATGAACAACCAACCTAGAAGAAACTCCCTCCCTGGGCCCAGAATCAACATGGCCAACCTAGTTATTCCACCTTGGAGAGGACAGGTTTATCCCCCTCAATTACCTCCACTTCAGTACTACAATTCTGGAGCCACCTTCTACCAACAACCTCCACCTACCTTTTATCAGCATCCATCTGCCAATACTTTATACCAAAATCCTGGAGCTACCTTTTACCAGCAGCCAACCACCAACAATATACCTTTCAACCCTGGACCTATGAGAAACCCTCAAGCAACTGAAAGTGATGATTTGGACCCCTTGGAACCCCAGGCACCTTTATCCCCTCAAAACACTGGAAGTCAGAATGGAGCCCCTCCAGCAAGAAGACCAACAGTCAAAACCACTAACCCCATAGAACCCAAGAAAGCCCTCCCAATTCACTTTTTGGAGAGAGAACCTGAAATGCCCAAATATACTGGAGGAAGAAAAACTGTGAAGATTAAACCCTTGGACAAAGAACTTATTTTTGATGGGTCCAACATGCCCATAGAAAAATTCATCAAAAGATATGAAGCTGCTGGAAATACAGATGGAGCAAGCCCTCAAGACTTGGCCAACCAAATTATTCCCTTCATAAAAGGAATGGACCTGAAAGATGAAGTAGAAGAAATGTCAGGATATGAAGACTCCAACTGGGAAAAACTCAAGAAACAATTGCTCAACAGATTTGGATCCTCCCTCCCCTTGGTCAAATACACCAGCCATGACCTCAAACACTTGGTTTCCTCTGCAATTAGAGGAGGAGGAATTAGGACCTTGGAGCACTTCAAAATTTTCAGGACCAAATTTGAGGCAATTACTCACTACCTGGTAAGGATGGGATATAGCTCCAACTTGGAAGAATCCACAGAATGTCTTTTGGAAGCCCTCAGTCCAGACTTGGAATCCTCAGTCACTAAAGAACTTATCAGAGATAATATGATGTTAGCCTCCAAAGATGGTGGGGACATTTTACCTGACACAGAAACCCTAATCAGCTACATCCACAGGGAAGTCCAATCAGCCTCAGTCATGGAAAGAAGAAAAATCCTCAGGAACATGGAGCCAGTTAAAACAGACAAACCTCAGACCCAGAAAACTCCTGACCAAATAGCCATGGAAGGACTCACCAAGACTTTAAGCAGTTGGCATGCTCAAAAAGCAGAAACTCCAAAGTCTGACCCATTGGTTTCCAAGAGTCATGTCCCTTACAAACCTGCACAATTGGAGAAGGATTACAGTACCATCAAATGCAATTATTGTCTAGGAGTAGGACACACCTTCTACAGGTGCAACCTGGCCAATGAAGATGAAATGAAGGGCCTATTCAAGAAAGATGGACCAAATGTTATCTTACCAGATGGAACCCAAGTCCAATGGAATAAATTCAAGGCCTTCAAGACAGCTGTTGACCAGTATCATCAATCCCAAAAACAGCCAGGAATTATCAATATCCCCCCAAGAACTTTGGATAAACCTTCAGAGCCCCAGACCTCATATGGTAAGTTGGAAGAAATTGATGATGAAGAAGATGATCTCAGTTATGAGTGTGAAGCTGCAAAAAGGACCAGAAGTGGAAATGAATATCCAGAGGAAGTTACAGTCAGCAAGAAGGTCAGGAAAGAAAAAGAAGACCTGATGGACATAGACAAGGACAGACTCTTGGAGATTGCCAGACAGGATGACTACAACCCTGTAGAATTGCCAGCCTCATCAACCAAGGAATACACACCCCCCAACAAGAAAGTTCAATTTCAGAAACCTGTAGAAAAACAACCAAGCCCTCCCAAGGAACCTCCAAAGGAAAAATCTCCTAAGAAGACCTATGTGGAGAGACCCTTAACCAATCAATTTCCTGATGCAGAAGACAAAGTGGTCAGCAGAATGCTTATGGATGGAAGAATGGAATTATCCCTTGGTGAAATATTTGCCATTTCCAATGGGGCTGTTGAGGCCTTCAAAAAGAAAATCAGTCCAAAAAGAATACCCTTGGAACCCACCAAATCTACAAACTCTGGAGGAATTGACCAAGAAGCTGAGGATGATGACAGCCCTAATGAAGAACCTAGCCACTATGCTTGTCCCTTGGGATATATAGATGTCAGTATTAATGGAAAACCCTTTCAAGCACTTTTGGACAATGGATCTCAAGTCAACCTACTACCCAGAGACCTGGCAGCAAGAATGGGGCTAATAATTACCCAAAGAGCCATGAACCTCAAAGGAATAGGTGGCCACAAGAATGAAATCTTAGGAGTAGCTGAAAATGTGCCAGTCAAGGTGGGGCATATAACCAGAGGAATACATTTCTATGTTTCTGCAGGAGAAGTACAACCAATTCTGGGAAAACCATGGCTCATAGATGTATCAGCAACTATCAAATTTCTTCAATTTGGAGCAGAATCCTTATCAATTCAGAAGGCAGGCAAAACTTACCTGGTACCAATACATAATCCAGCAAATCAAAAATGGGAGAGAGATTTTCCTGTCCACACTGCCACCACATCAAGTCATTTTTTAGCCTCTGGCACCTCCCACAAGTAAAGACTTGGGAGGTGCCTAAAAATAAAGAAGAAGGAGTAATGTTAGTATATGCAGCAAAATATAAATCTACTACAAAAAAAATAAAGCCAGTGAATGAACCTATGCCTCAACATCTCAACTCACCACTATGTAACCCTCCACTCTCAAGAGACCCCTACCAAACTCCCTTAACCCCCTTCCCTCCTGAATTTACACCCACCAAGAAAATAACTGAAGACAGGTTAAAAGTTGTTAATTTTGGACCCCCTGGATGGCTTTGGCCAGAAGAACTCAAACTCCTCAAGCATGTCATCAAGCTCAGACAAGGTGGTTTGGCTTTTTGTGAAGAAGAAAGAGGACTTTTGAAACACACCTATGGACAACCCTAAAAAATTCCAGTCATCAAACATGACCCATGGCAGCAAAGACCCATTCCTATACCAGCTGCAATCAAGGACCAATTTATTGAATTAGTAAGAGAAAGACTCAAAACAGGCCTCTATGAACAATCCTGCTCCAGTTATTCCAGCCCAGTATTTTGTGTCAAGAAGCAAGATGGCAAATTAAGAGTGGTTCATGACTTACAAAGGCTCAACAAAGTTACCATAAAAGACTCTGGACTCCCACCAAACCCTGAAGACCTCATTGAATCTTTCACTGGAAGGGCCTGCTATGGTCTGGGTGATATAATGGGAGGGTATGATGAAAGAGAATTGGCCCTGGAATCAAGACCCCTTACCACTTTTGAAACCCCTCTGGGAAGATTTCAACTCACCAGATTACCCCAAGGAGCCACCAACTCTGTGGCAGTTTACCAAGCCCAAATGATGTGGATACTCCAGGATGAAATACCCAATAATGTAGGAATCTTCATTGATGATGGTGGAATTAAAGGACCTGTCTCAGACTACAATCAAGAAACCCTGGAAGCAAACCCTGGCATCAGAAGATTTATTTGGGAATATGCAGTCACCTTGGAAAGAATTTTATTCAGAATTGAAGAAGCTGGACTTACCATATCTGGGAAGAAATTTGCCTGCTGTGTACCTGCCCTGGACCTTGTGGGACATGTGGTATGCAAAGAAGGGAGAAAAATTGCCAAAAAACAACTCAACAAGGTGGAATCCTGGCCCCCTCCTGACAATCCCACTGATGTCAGAGGATTCCTTGGTGTTTGTGTATATGTCAGAATGTTTATCCCTGGACTATCTGAACTAGCCTCACCCCTCAGGAAGCTCACTTGGAAAGACTCAGAATGGAAATGGAATCAAGCCTGCCAGGATGCATTTGAAAAATTGAAGAAATTGGTAGGCTATGATATTACTCTGAAGAAACTGGACTACTCTGAAGAAGCAGGGGCAATAAAATTAGCTGTGGATTCAAGCCATATAGCAGCAGGGGCATTACTCACACAAGAAGATGAAGGACTGGACAGGCCTGTACTGTATGAATCAGTGGTGTTTTCCCCCACAGAATCCAAATATTCACAATCCAAACTGGAACTTTGTGGAGTAACCAAGGTCCTCAAGAAACTACAGACACAGCTATGGGGACAACATTTTGAATTATTAGTGGATGCCAAAAGTTTGATAGAAATGATCAACTCACCCAGCCTCCCAAATGCCCCCATGACCAGATGGGTGGCTTTTATTCAACTATTTTCTTTCACCATGAAACATGTCCCTGGAAAAACCTTTACCATGCCTGATGGACTATCAAGAAGACCCCCTGACCCAGGAGAAATTGGTGTAGAATTTGATGAAGAAGAAAAATGGATCAAACCTCACCCTGGCTTTGGACTCAAGCAAACAAATATGGTAAACCTGGAAATTCAGCCTTCAAAAAGCCCACAAATTGGAATTTGGAAGGATCTTCAGTACTATTTGGAAACCCTCAACAGGCCACCTGACTGTTCAGCAAAAGACTGGGCCAACATCAAACACAAATCAGCCATTTTCTTTATGTCTGAGGGTCAATTAAAAAGAAGAAATAAGCCCTTTCCCCAGGTAGTTGTCACCAATCCAGAGCTCCAGAAAACTGTCCTCAAGGCACTTCATGAAGAATTGGGCCACAGAGGTATGGAATAAACTTACAGAAGGACCAAACTCAGGTTCTGGTGGCCAAATATGAAAAGATCAACCAAGAAATGGGTTCAATCCTGCATACCCTGCCAGAAAAGAAGCTCCTCAAAACCTTTGGAAGAAAGAAGAGCAACTGGAAAATCTACAATCTTTGGAAGAGTTAGCCTGGACACCATCCATATCAAAGCTGGAAGGTGGAAATATTTGGTTGTTGCCAGAGATGACCTGTCTGGCTGGGTTGAAGCAGTTGGGTTGCAGCAAATCAAGGCCAAGAAAATTGCTGACTGGTTTCTGGAAAATTGGATTCACAGGTATGGTGTACCTCTCACAGTTGTGGTTGATGGTGGCTCAGAATTTGGCCAAGAACTGCAAAATGCCCTCACTCAAGTTGGATCAACTGTCAAAGTCACTACCCCTTATTACCCTGAAGCAAACGGAATGGTAGAGAGAGGCCATCAGCCAATCAAGGACACCCTGGTTAAATTATGTGAAACAGATGGCAAGAAATGGAGGAACTACCTACCCCTGGTCTTATTTGCTGACAGGATTTCCACCAAAAGAACTACTGGTTATTCCCCTTATGAGCTGCTCTTTGGACAACCTGCTATTTTACCTGTGGACTTGGAGCTGGAAACTTACCTTGGAACCAACTGGGAGGATATTTCAACCACTGAAGAATTGCTCACAGCAAGAGTTCTGCAATTGGAAAGAAGAGAAGAAACCCTTCAAGAGGCATTCAAGAAAATGAAAGAGGCCAGAGCTCAATCCTTGGAGCCCCAAAACCTGAAGAATAATGTCAGAAAACCCTTACTGCCTGGTCAACTTGTTTTGGTTTATAACAAATCCCTGGACTCTCAATGGGGCAAGTTATTTGAAAATAGGTGGAATGGCCCATTTAGAATTACCACACAGGAGGAAGGAGGGGCTTACAACCTTGAAGAACTTGATGGGACAATTTTGAAAAGAAGATATGCAGCCTCTCAAGTCAAGCCCTTCTTTTCTAGGGACTGAAATCTTGGGCTAATTCTACTTGACAAACGTCGATTCTTCTAAAAACACTGTAAATTATTCAAGAAATATCCTAAAAAAAAAAAAAAAAAAAAGAAGAGAAAGGAGAATTAGTTATTATTTTCATTATCATTTGGTATCGGAAAATCACCAAAAAAAAAAAAAAAAAAAAGACAAAAATATGTTTTTCATTACTCACTAATTTACTAAAGCCATGGTCACCTCGTCAACATCTGCTAAGATCAGGTCAATCTCATCCATCACCTCCCTATATAACCATTGGCGAGCGGTTCGACGACGACCCCCGGTACGAGCTGCGGTGCAGTATGGGAACATGTCCAGTATTCTGAAGTATTCAAGGAATTTTGCCTTGACATGACGACACGCGGTGAGCACCGTTTGTTCTCGGACAACCTCGGCGTAAAAAGGACCTCTATCGGCATCTTCTTCGGCCCCCGGCGGCGGAGTATTGACGTAGTACGGTGAATCAGCGGTACCTTGACCCGGCAAATCGGAAAAGCTGACGGCGGACGGCGAATAATACCCATATGAAGCGCGGTTGAAACCAAAACGCCCGCAGGGTTCGGGCTCAGCCGGCGTCATTATGACAGCAAGATCCCTTTCGCGGACTTCCTCGTGACTATAATCTTCCACGCGGCGACGGATATCGGGCTCCTCATTCTCTGGAGTAGGGTAAACGGTTGCTCTTTTGACGAGAACCGGAGACGTGGCGCGGGTGTTATTGTAATGGAAGTCGCTGGGCGGTTCCACTAGCATATAGTTTGTTTCAAGGATAGTTTCTTGATGGAGTTCGCGGATTTCAGGAAGCGGAATAGCCTCCTCAGCAGTCGAAGGACTGGAGATTGATTGCGGTGTGGGTGGGGTATTTGGGGAAGAAATTATATCGGTGCAAGTGATGAAGGCAATTGTGGAGACAAACTGCTCCAACAAACCCGGCTCTTTTATCTCTTGTCTACTGCAACCACGGCTCAGCCGACCCCTCGAGTGCTCCCTTTACGGTGATACAATCTTGGCTCGGAAGTATTAAGACCGCCCGACGGGCGTATTTTGTTTTGTGAACCCTGGAATACATCGTTGGTCGACCCTGTTTATGACGAACCTCCCCGTTGTGGAAAGCTCTCGGTTTAGAACCTGCTCCTCATTCGGTCACAACTGTGAAACCAAGCAGGCTACATTATCTACTTTCGACTGGTGAAACCAAGGATCTTTTCGAAATGCCAAACGCATGGGAACTGCCCTTTGTCAGCCAGGAAACTATCGACCGGCTGAACGCTTCAACGGCAGACTGGGATAGGTGGCTCGGGCAATTTCGACAAGACACCGCACGACTTTATCGGCTTCAGAAGTCTCTCCTCCGAGAACGGTACAATAGGAATAAACTACACTATCTTCAAACCGTGGAACCTGTCTACTGCCCGCCTCCGAAACGCCAACATTCCTTCTAAGGGCGCGGCTCTACTTTTTACTTTTTTTCGGCTATGACAGATCACTCCCCACCCCGGTACTTTCAGGCTACCCAGCCTTGGCCTATCCTTCTTTCCAACCTTGCGCAAGGCACAACGGCCGACGACTTACGAGCAGCTCTTGCTTGCTACGGCCCTGTTGAACATTGCTTTCTTTTTTCCCCCCCCTTGTCGAACGTGCTATGTGCCCTGGTCCACTACTCCGATTACAAAACGGCGGCCGCCGCTGCGGCGGATTTGGACTGTCAGCCTTAGAGCCAGCACAGCTGACCAAAAGACTGCTTTTACCATCTTTTCTCACTATAATATTACCATAACTTTTTACTCATAAGATATTTCCTGAATCTGACTTCAGATATGGATTTCTCTGCTAAATTAACCCCTAGTCACCACTGACCACTTTTATCTTACTCTACTCCTTCATATATTTTGTCTTACTTCACAGTACTTGTCTAAATTCTGATACTCAAGAATTATAGTCCCCCTCTACCACAAGTACACGTAATCATTACGTAATCCAACTCTGAAAATCCTGTCAGAGGATTCTAAGTTCGCATTTTTCAGGATCTTCAAGGTTTTCAGACTCACTTTGAACCAGAACCACCAACAAACCAACCAACCCCGTTACCGCTTGGCGCTTAACTTGTCGAAAGGATTCCAACTCCCAGTTTCTCCTCCACGTGGTCGTGCTAGGACTCTGACAGTTAGTATTCTTTCTTGTTGCTTGATTTCTCTGTTGCTCTGCTATCTCAGTCTCACATATGGTTCTTCAACCATATCCTTCTCTCTAATTCTCTCTCTCTTTGATCAACTCAATCATACTCTTCATCTCATTGTTTGGTGGTAAACCTGAAAACCACATAGGTTTCCCTTTAAAGAGCCTTGATCATAGATCTAAAAAATAGTGGTTAGTTCTGAACATATTCAAACTAAAACCTTCTACAGTTTCTTTTGTAGAAGAGGCTAGTCTTTGACAGCTTATCAGCCATCCTACTAAAGGAAAGTAAGACTGCAGATTCAATCAAATAAAAGATAAAAAACAAATAAAAATACATTTCTCTTTTTCTTTCTATTTTCCTTTCTCTTGTCTTTCCCCTTTTCTTCTAACTTCTGGTTGTATTTCCCTTCTTCCTCGAAATCCAACCTTTAGTTCCCCTCATTCTCTTGTGTCCTGTCGCCACATAAGAGGCTCAGGCTCACAATTGGGGGCCTCATCGGGAAATTATCCCCTTTCTTATATCATCATATACTAGATTCTAATCTTAACTCAGGCCTATAACTCTAATATTCAATCATTCGAAAAAATAAATAAACAAAAATATTTTTTTTCTTTTCTTGCGTTTATCTCTCTTTCTTTTCGCGCTTTTCCATCGCGGAGCGCTCGCCAAAAATTCTTGATAGACCTTAACCGATTCTGACTCTGAAACTTTTTTTTTCCTTTTATATCACTACACTCTCTTGAAAGTGAAGAAAAACCGAAACATCATACCCGACTCTCCTAAAAGAATCTCCTCCGCGGTCTTTCTTCTCCGTTGTCG